CGCCGAGGCGCGCCCCAAGGCAGCCGGGGCCCCGCGCCGCAGCCTGCGCTGAGCCGGCCCGCCCCGGCCCCTGGCCCGTCTCTCGGCCTGGGTGCGGCAGCAGCATGAGCCAGGCCGAGCTGTCCACCTGCTCAGCGCCGCAGTCGCAACGGATCTTTCAGGAGGCCGTGCGCAAGGGCAACACGCAGGAGCTGCAGTCGCTGCTGCAGAATATGACGAACTGCGAGTTCAACGTGAACTCGTTCGGGCCCGAGGGCCAGACGGCTCTGCACCAGTCAGTCATCGATGGTAACCTGGAACTCGTGAAGCTGCTGGTTAAGTTCGGCGCCGACATCCGCCTGGCCAACCGCGACGGCTGGAGCGCGCTGCACATCGCCGCGTTCGGCGGCCACCAGGACATCGTGCTGTATCTCATCACCAAGGCCAAGTACGCGGCCAGCGGCCGGTGATGCCCAGCTGTGCGCCAGAGCCCGCGCCGGGCGCCCGAGTCCTCTCTGCTGTACCTTCCCGCCAACTACCTCGGTGTGTGCAGGGTCGCTGGCCCAGCCACAAGCCCTTCGCCCTCCACGACGAGGTTGCTGCGCGAGCGCGCGTGTCCTCGGCACCTGCTCCTCTGGGGTCTCACAGCTCCGCCCGCTGAGTGCCACCCCCCAGTCCCCCGGCGGCCTCCGGGCCCCTGCGCTTCCCGGCCCTGCCGCCGGGCGAGTGGGGGCGGGGTGGAGGCTCCAGCCCCTTTGAAATTTGAGTCACACCATCCAGTTCGGAATCCCGAGATACCGGATCCTCAGCTTGAGGTGTTTTCTCCTGCTGGTGAAGAGCGCGCTGGGGACGCCGCCCGGGGAGCCCTTGCTCGCAAGACGCGCCCACTCCCGCGCCCGGCGCCGACTGGGAAGGATCCCTGCTCACGGGGTCCTTCTGCACTGTCTCTCGAGCTTGTGTCTATCTGTGGGTGAGCCTCGTGCGCCTGGTGGTTTTGTTAGGGAGCTGTTGTGCGTGTTCATGTTCACTGTGCTTTGTGGGAGAATGTGCGTGGTCCCTAGTCTGAAAACTTGAGCCTTCGCAGCACTGAAAATGCCGCCTGCGGGGTCTCCGGCGCCGCCCCTCCCCCACTGCCCCTCCCCCGCTCCTACACCCCCTGCGCCCCGCTCTCCACCAGCTCCCTCCCGAGAACAATTCCTTGCGTTTGGAGGCGCCAGGCCCCGCGCTCCCCTCTCCGCCTTGTGCCAGTTCTGTGAGCGGCGGCCACCCCCAACCCTGCTGGTCTCCCCGTTTCCACCAGAGCCTGGGAACTCTGGTGCTCACAGGGGACGCAGTGGGGGCTCCACCTTCTTCTAGTGAGAGTCGTCCTAGGTAACACTGGGTTGCACACTTGTCTAAGAAGTAAATGGATTTCCCACAGTTCTATGTCATAACATTTATGACTATAAAATACTGACCTATTTTAAAGCCAGGTTCTCGTGTATGCTTGAATCTTGGTTATAATCCCCATTTTAAAGGGCGTTGTAACCACCGTTGTGAAGGCAACAGAGCGTACCCATATTTATATTTTTATAAAATGCCTATAAACTGTGACGCTCTGAGAATCGCTGGGCATTGAAGGACCGGCTGCCCGCCCGGAGCTTCCAGAAGCCAATCCGAAGCTTCGTGGGGGAGGGGCCGGCGGTGGCTGCGGGTCGTTCTGTCCCGAAAGGCCCCCTTCCCGGTCCCTGCGGTTCCCAATTTCTATGCAAACCCAGGCCCTGTTGTTTTGATCCCGGGAAATAAAAGGGAGACTGAATGATTCAGATTTAAATGAGGTTCCCCTCGCGCGGTGCCGCTGACCCTTCATGCCTAAATGGGGAGCTGAGCGGACCCACGTGGATGGGGCCTTTGTGCGGACTGGCCACATGGCCCTACAGCCCCAAGTGGGGCACGGAGCACACCTCGGCCGAGGTGCAGACGGTGAAACTGAGGCACAGATCTCTCCACAGTAGCTTTCCTGGATATTCTTTTTAGATGCAAATACCTTTTTAATTATGTTAATGTTGGGATATTTCAGGCTTCTCTCTCAGCCGCATGTGTCCCGTCTGGTCGCGGCTAACTGGGTTTAAGACCACAACAAGATCCTAAGTGTACCATAGAGACTTGTAGCACAGCATGAAAAATTTTAAATAAATTTTTCATTGGTCTTTTTATATGAAAAACAAAGTTTGTGGGTTCTTCTTGGTCCGGGAGGAGGGTCAGGCTGTCCGTGCGCACCCCATGATGGAATTCAAGTTTAAAGGGGCCGCCGCCCCTCTCTGGCACCTGCTAGTACCCTGGCAGGGCACCCCCAACGTCTTGGGCCCCCCCCACTCTCCCTGCGGAGACTATCTGTGCTGTGTTGTGAGATGCCTAAGGTCCTTGAAGGACCAGGCCTCTCCTGTCCCCCATAGGTACAGAGAAGGCTGCTTGGGTAGCGTGTAGCTGCTGCCACGGGGAGCACTCGGCCGGAGGAGCAGGGGCAGAGATGGACAGGGGCCAATTTGCAGACGACTCTCAGCCTGTTTCTAAGACGCTTACCAGGGTCCAGCAGAGGGTGGGCAAGGACCTCCACCCTTGAGACAGGACCCCATCCCCAGAAATGGTAGCCTGCAGAGGAGACCTGTGGGGGACCTGCACAGCAGAGTTACCAGAGTCACAAGGTGGAGATGACTGTGGTGCTTTGTGACCCCCTTGGAAGCAGCCCAGGTGTGGCACCCTCTCTGGCACAGAGTGCTGCAGCTCTCAGCCTGCCCACAGGCTCTGCCCACAGGCACAGTGATCCCTCTGGCTGGCTCTGCAGGTCCACTGTCACTAGGTTAGTGAGCTGGGCTGCAAGAGGGGCCATCGGGTCCTCAGACATGCCCAGAAGTCTGAGGCTCTTGTGTCTCCAGGACGGAATGGGGGATGAAACAAGAAAGAATATACACAACAGGTCCTGACCCAGGACGGTAAGTTGTCCCAGGACCTGCCAGAAGTGCAGGAATGCTAAACTGCCACACAGGTTGGTGAAATGCCCGGCTTGCATTTTCTGTGTGGGCTCTGCTGCTCCTGGACACACACAGAAGGTCTAGGAGTATGGATGTGCGCTGATAAGGTCCCTCCAAACCAGGAGAGTGGGGCAGCCCAGCTCACACCTGTGGGGCCTGGCTGGCTGTACCCCCTTCTCAGCTGAGGGAGGACCACATGTGTGACCTCCCCAAAGCCTCTCAGGAAGGGCAGACCAGCTCCAGCACCATTCTCCTGTCCATGAGGCACGTTGCAGAGAGAAATCTGGCCCAGGGTCACCCGGCCTTTGGAGGGCAGTCCAGGACATGGATCACAGCCTGCCTTGTCCCGGGAGTAGCCCTGAGTGAAGGTGAGGCCAGTGGGCTCTGGGGCCCAGCCCTCCATCAGCCTAGGAGGAAACTGCCCTGCTGTGCCTTTAAAGGCTCTTTGTGGCCATGGTGTGGAAAAGGGGCAGTGGACTGAGGGCACCAGACAGTGCCCAGTGAGCCTCCATGCCTCTGAGGCCCCCTCAGTGGGCCTCTGCCCTGACCACCCTAGGTGGGGTGATAGGACACTGGGGCCATAACCAGGCTCTTGGGGGTCAGTTAAAGGTTTCAACCTGGGGTCCTAAGGAGAGAGACCACAGGCAGGACTGGGCCCCTGAGAGAAGGGACAGACCAAAGTGGCCAAGCCCATCCCTCTCTAGCAAAAGTGGACCTCAGGGTCCTGTCTGCTGCTGGGTTTTGGGAGAGATACTGGAGACACCAGAGGTACTGGAAGCTGCTGGCCTCAGCAGCCCTGGGGAAGGAAAATGGGGTTTGGGGTTCAGCAAATGAGTGAGAAGGACAGAGGGAGCTGTCCGAAGAAAGCCTTTCAGCTCACAGGGCCAGGGCACCGCAAACAGCGGCCGGTAGCCTCGCATGTAGCCTGGGTCTCGAAGGAAGGGAGTGGCCCAGCAGCAAAAACACCAGTGCGCGGGACTGTGAGGGTCAGGCACCGAGGGGTCGGGCTCCAGCCCATCCGCAGGGCTCGGGAGCCCCCTGACCCTCCTCGCCCGCCCCGTCCACTTCAGCGCATTCTTCTGCCTGGCTGGCTGGCTGACCATGCTTGTGCGTCCGTCTGTCGAACTTTCTTCTCTCCCAAGAGAAGGGCTGCCCCGAAGCGCGGCCCCCATTCATTCCCGCGGCCTCTGCCCTTTCCTCCGCGCAGGTCCGGCTCCGGGCGCAGCTGCTATGCTAATGAGGGCAGAGGGGCGGGGCGGGCAGCGAGAAGGGGGTGCCGAGCGGACAGGGGTCAGCTGAAAGCGGAGCAAAGGAGGCTGGGGAGAGCAGGACGCCCAGGGGGCCGGTGTGGGGTTGGGGGCGCTCACTTTCCCACCGGAGGGCTCCAGGGTGTGGTGTCCGCCCTCAGGTATGGTGACCCCTGTGTCCGGCCTCAGTGTCCGTCCTCGGGTGTATTGGCCTCGGTATCCAGTCTCAGTGTCCACCCTCAGGTGTCCCGTCCTTGGTGTCCGCCCTCTGTGCCTACCCTCAGTGTCCAGCCTCGGGTGTCCTGGGCTCCGTGTCCTATCTCGGTGTCCAGCCTCAGGTGTCCTGGGCTCTCGGCCAGCACCCTGGGGATGGGTCTGCCCGCCTCTCCCCCGCGCATCTGCAGGCGATCGAGGTCTGGGGGCGCCAGGGGCCGGTTCTGCTCGGGGTCGAGGCCTCAAACACGCAGAAAAGCTCCTCCTGGGGTCCCCACGCCGCCCTTCCGGCTGCACAGCCTCTGCCCACACGAGGGTCGTGCAGTCCGGCCGGCCAACTCGCGGGAGGAGCCATCGGCTGGACACAGGGAACCTCGCGGGTGCGGCCTG